TTATGGGATCAGATTGGTTCACTCCCTTTTAGGCCCTTTATGATAAAATTAGTTCTTTCATGTGGCCATTTGCCTTGCTTCTTTGAAAACCACAATTCAGGATATTTCTCCTAAGCCCTGTGGAGTTCACCTTTGCCCCCAGTTTTCTACCTTGGAGGGGTTTGTTTCTTTATTCTAGGTTGATTGATGTTTCTTAGTTAAGTTGCAAAGAACATGATGGTTTGATACTTTTTGTCAGGCCCTGCACTGTATCCTGCCATGTGACTGGCATGCGCCTATGCAAATGAAGTGACTAAGGTCTAATAAAAGATAAGTCAGCTTGTGGCCATGTGCACACACGCATGTGTGTGTGTGTGTGTGTGTGTGTGTGTGTGTGTGTGATGACTTGATTTAACCAAGAATTTGCTTACACAAGTATGTGACACTATTATTTGTTTGGGCAACATCCATCTGAGCACATATATCTGTAGGCTGAGGCACCCAAGAGTCCGAGTGCCAGGATGCTAGGCCCTCATATTGGGGTCAGAGCCCCTTTTCTCCCTAGCTATTGCATGGCCCAGAAGTAACCTTGTCTGCAGGTATAGAAGCCCGGGCCTGGGCCCAGGCCCAACCCCATACTCCCTTGGCCCTGGTATGGTCCTATAGGGTACAAATAGAAATATATGCACCTGGTCACCCCTTTGGTCTGCACCATGTCCTCCCAGGGCAGGTTCTAATGGGCTAACTGGTTTTCCCTGCAGGTGGTTTATCAAAGAAAGCAATGACAGCTGGGCAGGACCCGGTCAAGCGCTCACTTTATGTTTTCAAAGTCAGAGGTGCCCAGACTGCTCACTGGCCAAGTATCCACCTGAGGCATCCCCAGCAAGAGCTATCCACTGATAGTCTCCCCAAGAAGCTCCAAAGCCCCATGGGCACAGGTATTCACAATGACCAAATCATAAAACATGAACATTAAGGAACACATGTCTGAGGGACTTCAAAATATTCATGGAAAAATAGAATTAAAAGGTAAGTTTTTCCACAAACTTTCTGAAGCCTCCTCAGATATATAACCAACCCCGGGAGTTTTGCAGACTGAGAAGCAAAAAGGAGAAAGGCTTGAAGAAAAAAGCAGAGAGGTGAGGAGCCTCCTAAAGGAGCTATAGTACAGGTCAAAGGCTGTAACACTGAAGAGAAGGTGACAGCAGGCCCAGAAGGGGCCTGAGGCTTAGAGGGTCCAGACCGAGGTCTTCCTCAGGAGGTGTGCATAGCCAAGAGGGAGAGGATGTTTGCCCAGAGAAGAGTTGGCTTGCTTGTATGACTGAGAGGAGCTGGGGGTTGGGGGGGCCATCTCACATTGAAGAAAAGAGGGATACACTCACTACTTAGGAGGAGACATCCAGAGTTTGCCTAAGTTGCAC